AATTTAATCCCACTAGTTATTCTAATACCTTCTTGCTGTTTCCAGAATTTAAGTTTTGTTAAGTGGCTTCTTCCATTTTTCTCACTTTCAATTACTTAAAACTGTTTTTTTGGGGGGGTCCAAATTTTGTGTTTCCTATATTAAATTTATTTCCTCAATATACCTAGACTGCTGCCAACAAGAGTTAATAAATTTTGAATGACTGCTCAGGATTTATTTTCTTCATTTTTATATTCTATGTTATTTCCTTATACGATAGAGTATGAATGAAAATGAGTAACTAGAAGACCAATATTTCTTCAATTTTCACCTTGTGGAAGCTGGGTATTAAAATAAAAATAAATTAAGCTCTTGGGCTGGGAACTCCCTGACCATATTTCTCTCACTATGCTGGGTGACTCTATGCCTCTTTTCAATCTTGTATATATACAATTAACAAAGCACTGGATGCATTTGAGGAGCACCTGGCTTGTCAAGGTCCTTTCCCAGAAGAAGAAATGAACAAAGAACAGAGGGAAGAGCTTGAACAGTGGCTCCCTACCTGCCATCAAGAGAGAAGCAGCAGCATTTTAGATTTGAATGTTCTCCACTGCGGTCTGCCAGTAATCAGCTGTGTGAGTTTTAAGAATGTCAGTTAGAATCAGAAAGCTTGGCATCCTGAAAAGACCTCACTAAGACTTCAACTGAGCTCCCTCATTATCATCCACATGGGGAAAAAGATACAAAGATTTCTAAGTGACTTGACCAAAATCTAAAGGCTATTAGTGGCATAGCTGCATTCAGAATTCAAGTCTCTTTCAGTCTAGAGTACTTTCTACTAAACTGTAATAAACTGGGCATCAATTTCTTCATCTCTATACATGATGATAACACCCCTTGTTTGCTTCATGTACTGTAGAGAGGACAAAAAGAGACAGATCTGCTAGCACTTAAAGTACTAAGAGCACAAAAGTATTACAAGGTCATCACCTCATCCAAACTCATCCCTCCAGAAATTGAGCCTGATTATACAAATAAAAGCATCCACCCTACCACTTCCCCAAAGGTATCAGTATGAGTCAAATACAACACCCCCTGAGCTCAACAATTTACCAGTAGATTTCTGATCAATAATCACAATGTGTGTTGTAGCTCCTGATTTGAACAGAGGGTACCAAAATTTCAGTGATCAGGTAGGTCAGAGTTCACAATCAGGCAGCCTAAGACTGTCCATAGCCTACAAATGTGTTTTGGTCTACATGATAAATTTTTTAATGGCAATTTTTTGAAGTACATACATTAAAATCCAGATTTCCAGCATCTCTTGAAAACAATCAGAAGATCTAGGGGCACTGGGCCCACTTCCTCACAAGCAACTGGAGCTGAGTAGCAACTGCTGCCTTCAGACAGACTGGTCCTATTCCCTCCAGTTCACAAGGTTTGTCCTACTCTTTATATTACACCATGGGCATTTGAGCTGGAGACTCTTGAGGGAGAGCTCAAAAGATAACTAAATTAATAAATATTTGTTTACTCTTTTGGCCAACTTTTTTTTTGCATTATCAACTCAAGCTGTGTGACTCTTGGGTAACACACTTAACCACTAAGCCTTAGGCTACTCATGTGTTAAAACGGGGAAAACCACCTATCTCACAGAATCATGAAGATCGAAGGAACTAAGGCATACAAAAACATTTAACAATGACTAAAACATAAGGGTTCAATTATTTTAAATTTAACACAAGCTGACATGTGCTAACTTCTGAGTCAAAACTTCTCAAAAACTTCAAACTCACAGAAGACACAAGGTCAGGGCAGTTCCCATGGGAGAAAAAATGTAACGTGACAGAATTCCTTGCCATACAGCAATTTGGTATCTATTCTGTGTCCTTAATAAGGCCTATACATCAAAATAACAGATTTACAGCAAATTCTCTCAGCCTGAAGCACCTATAATCCACTGAATTGCAGTAGTTTCTAAAGTCTTCAGTTATGAGTCAACAAGCAAAACAAATGCTCCCTAAATTAAAAAAATACATATATAAAAAATACATATATATATATATATATTTTTTTTTTATGTGACAGATGAGGCAATGAGCTCCTGAGTGCAGAAGCCATGTTCATTCCTCATTATCCTTACTGCCCAGCACAGTGACAGGTACTGTAGCTAAGGCTCAAGGGCTAGCTCCTTTCTGAAGCCACTCACATCACAAGGAAGAAACAACATGGCATAGTACCAAAGAGTCAACATACCAAAGTCTAGCAGATAATCCCCTCTACTCACAGCTCCAACAGCTGCATAAACTCAAGGAATTTATTTAACCTCTCTGTGCTCTAGTGTCCTCATCTGTAAAATCAGGATGCTAATACCACCTTCCTATACAGGAATAAATGAGATGATGCATTTAATACAATGCTGGCACACAGTAAGTGCTCATTAGCCACCATTATCAGTGCTTCCTCCTTTGTGCTCCAAAGTACCCTGAGGTGACTGCTGTCTTAGTACCTCTAAGGCTTTACTGCAGTTCACCTGCATACACATACAGCTCCCCCATGGGAATGTCAACAGCCTCAGGGTGGGGACCTGGTTATATTCCTCTTTGCATCCCTGGGTCTAACATTTTTCCTGGCACTGCTGAATAAATCACAGATCGTCAAGGTACTTATTAACAGGAAAGTTACTAGCAGAAACTGGAACTTACCTCTCTTGCTTGACACACAAGCCCTGACTCTGACCCCTACTGACCCTCCAACATTACCTCCCAGTATCCCCACTAAAAGAAGCAATGGCTTGCTTTATTCAGGCTGGTCTACTCATCACTCTAAAACCATGCCATAGGGATTGCACCTTTTTATCTTACAGCTATCATTTCAAGGGGCCTTGCCACATTATCAGGCTCTTTATCCACACTAGCTCACAACACTCCATGGAGTCTATCTCATCCCCCATCTCAAACCATACCTGAAGGAAATAATGCTTAGAATTAAGAAACTTGCCAAAGGCCACATATCTAGTAAGAAGAGGGGCCAGGAATTGAATCCAGAGTCCATGGTTGTTCTCTACAGAACGTCTGGCCCACTCATTCAAAGTTGAGCTGACCCACTACCTTCTTGCCTTGAAAGATTATGGTCTTCTCTACACTTAAAAGGACTATCTGTACCATTCATTTTGATAGTCATATTTTTTCTCTTGTATAGTTGTTTCAATATGTATTTGCATATAAAGGGCTATGGTGTCAGAAAGAAAAAGGAAAAAAAACGCATAATGGAAAACGCACATACGTAGGCATGCGACAGACCTGGGTTTGAATCCTGGCTCTGTCTCGTACCAGGTGCGTAATTTATCCTGAGCCTTCCTAACCTCTAAAGTGAGGCTAAAATGATTAAAAAAGAGAAACCTAGTAAAATCTCCAGCACATAGTAAATACTAAAGCTTAACTATTCTCACATTATGAAGCATTACCTGGCCACAGAACACTCCTCAAAAGTGAATGACACCCCCCACCTTCTGTGCAATCACTAGATCACAGAAAGAACTCTCACAGAAAGAAGTGTACTTATCACCCTATGTTAGAATTACTTCCTTATCTCTCTAAATTAAGCAGACAAGGACTGAGTCTTATTTATCTCTGCATTGTCTAGCATGGTACCTGGTATATATCCATACTCAGTAAATGTTTGCTAAATGAAATAATTGTAGATATAATGCTTGTTTATAGAAATCCAGAATAGAAATAATTTCCAGCTGAGGTCGTCCTGAATTGGTTGATGACAAGCCAATTTCAGCTGGGCCCTAGGTAACATCTGAATAGGTAAAAACAGAAAAGGAGAAATCTAGGCAGAGAAAATGTCCTACAGAAAACAATGAACAAAGGAAAGACAAAGTTGATTTGGAGTTCCACTTATCCAGAGTAAAGGATCAGAGTAGGGGACCTTTTGAAGCATAGCTGGAAGGTTAGCCAGGAGCCAGATCAGGAGATGTAAAGGAATGAGAGTGCACTCCGGCATCACAGCAGACGAAGGTAGGTATGAGCACAAAGCTGAATGGGAAAGGGGCCACCAGCATGCCTCACAAGCCCCAGCAAGCTTGCAAGTGTGTAAACTGAAAAAGATGAAAACAAGTATCAATACTTGATCAAGAACTCTCAGTGTTTACTGAGCATCTTGCGTGAGCTCACAGAGTATGAGGAATAAAACATGGTGCCTCCTTTTTCTGCTCTTATAAATTAGGAATCCAGCCCTTCTGCTTGTTGAAAGAGAACGAGAATGTTGACTTTGCTTTAACTGATGTGTAAACACCTGTCTCCATTTGACTGTTCACACCTGGGGAAGTTCCGAACTTCGCTGGTTTGGTTTATAACAACTATGCTTTGCACAGTGCCAGGTACTGTAACAGGCTTCGAAAATCACTTGCGTTCATTCAGAATGAAAACTGAACCAATCTCTGAATCAGCTTTCGGTTCTCGAGTTAAAGTAATGCTCTTGTTTAAACTACAATGATTTTTCCCCCAGCCTTAAACAGATCTAGAAGACTCTTTGCCACTCCCATAAACAAAAAGCTGAATCAAAGTTCTGGCAGCACTCCGGCTAGGAAAAAACAGTTCTGCAAGGCTGTTGACTCTTCTGGGGCAACGGAGAGAAGGGGCGCTAGGAAACAGGGACTGAACAGGCAATGCTTTAAAAACTTGATTTTCACGTTATGAAGATTAATACACCTAGATGTTGCCAAGTGTTGGGCCAGAAACTGCCCAAGTCAACAGTACCCTCCCCAAACCCCAACACTACAAGGTCCACTAGCTTCTCCTCCCCCCAGATCACACACCCAGCGGTCACGTTCAAGGCAGCCTCCAGTTCTGGAAAGGACCAGGAAACGGATGCTCAAGGGAGACCAGAGCAAGGGTCAGACAGACTGCCCGCTGGGCAGCGCCGAGAGCGGAGGAGTGAAGAGGGCCGCCAGGCTCCCCTGGTGGGCTGGCGGGCGAGCGAGCGAAGGAGCTAGCGGCTAGGGCAACCTTTACCTGAAGCTGCTGCCACACTATGGGCCAGGTCGGCCCCAGGACACGTTCCTGAGGGGAGGGCCCGGATTCCCCGCTCCTCCTGGCCCTTGCCCAAGCTCCACACTCTCAGAATCCTCGGGGACTGGCGCGCCTCCCGGCCGGCTCAGCAGCCGCTTTCCGGGCTTGCCCTCATATCCCCGTCGCTCCCCGCCGCCGGCCGGCCGAGCAGCAGCCCCGTTGCCCCAAGCCGCGCCACGACCCGGAACCGCACCCCCAGCACCGGAAGTCCCCGACCGGGAAGAAGCCGCTGGCTGGGAACGTAGTGCGCAAGCCCCAGAGCCAAGAGCAAGGAGGGAAGCCCTCCCGGGGGGCGGGGCCGAACGGAAGGCCGTGCGCATGCGCACCACTTCCCTGGGTCCGGATTAAGGCCTGGGTCAGAGATTAGCTGGGAGCCTGGTAAAATTCACCGACCTATGGATTTGCATTGGGCAGAAGTCGACGTCAGCGTTCTTCGAATCTCCTCCATTCTCCGCGCTTCCACGGAAAAAAGCCCTCAGTTCATCCAGAAATGAGTGATGAGACAGCTTTGTCTCTGGGTCAGGAAGACTTGGCTTCAAATGCCAACTCCAACCTGCTGTGTATCCTGGGACAAGACACCTCCCCTTTCTGACCCTAGGTTTTCCCATCCATACAGTAGTTCCAATTTTACAGTATTGCTGTGAGAATCGAATGGGATGATGCTTTAAAAACACTCAGCAGAGTGCCTGACACCTGATAAACTCAGTGTTAGTTATTACTCTTGTTATTCGTTAAACGGAGATAATTATCTTCCTCAAAAGCTGCAGGGGGGTTTCCATGAGATACAAGGATCTGCCCCAAACAGGGGCTCATTGTTGGTGGTCTCCCTGTCTCTCCCAGTCTCAAACATTGGGGGAAGGTACTGTGAAGGGGAAAGAAGGACTCAAGCAGTGCAATCATAGGGTATCTCTCCTACCTGATAGTCCAGAATGTCCCTCTTAAAAATGCACCTTACCAAAATAAAGAACAAAAAGAAAAAAATCAAGGCTGAATTTCAGCCCAGGAGGGACATTATCCGATATTAAAGTCACCATCAAATACACCATGGATCCACTACCATGTATTCAAATATATGATTGATTTCTTAGCTTAGAGGGAGAAAAAGAAATGTACCTTACCACCCAAAAGAGCTACTGCAAACTTAACACTGCAGTTCTTTCAGGGGCCTGTTGGAGGTGTTCAGCCAAAGCATAGAGTGTGAACAAGGTTGGATATTCTGTTTTCTGATGTCACCAGACTATCATCCCCACCTAAATATTAATCTTCATTTTCACTTCCCTCTTGAACTCCAGTCTGAAGCACAGCTGTCTGTATAAAACTCAACCTATCCAAAATTGAAATCAATTAAACCCATTGAGCTTTCTCTCTGCAGGTTCTAAGGAGTGAATACCCACTCTACCACTTGAAAGTTTTATGAATACGTCTCCCTAAATTGCCTCTCTAAATTTCCTTATCTGTAAAGTGGAAAAAGAAAAGTCCTAAATAACAGCACTGTGAGGATTAAGTGAGATTATATATATAGAACAGAGCCTGGCATGTAGCTAACATTTACTAACATTTGCATAAAATGCTTACCACTATTACTACACCTCAGTCAGTAAACAGATACTTACCAAGCGCCTATGTAGTAAGCCTATCCTTGGCACTGGAGATCTCATGATGAAAAAGCCAGACAGGGACTCACTCCAGCCTAATGAAGCTTACCGTAAAGTTTGACTATGGATTTGAAATAGTGACTGTGGCAAGTTGGAGTGCAGGGAGATATGGTAAGATTTTAGGAACACTAAGGGCCCTGTTGAGAATTGTGACTCTGAATTTATGGTTATACTAATATGATGGTTGTGTGATTTTTCTCTTGTTAATCTGAATAGTTAAGATACAGGCACACAAATAGTGAGCAATTGGGTCAGTCTAAGGAAGTTTTGCCAGACAGGTGTGATGGGGTCAAGGAGTTTAAGATCTTGGCTTTTGAGAGTGCTTAACACAAAAGGTCACAGAATGGATGCTCAAGAGGTAAGTAAGAGAGTTCTGGGAAGGCCCAGGTCACTAGCCTGAAGGTCCCAAAACAGGTCTAATGGTAGTTACTGATGGTACAGGGTAGAAAGATGGAGGTGAGCCTAAGAGATGGACATCCTGAATAACCTCAGATGAAGAGCCATGTGAGAGTGGGGTCCTGGCTGAAGTGGAATGGAAGAAACAGTTACTGAAGATGAGACAGTCAAGGATCTGAGATGCCATGTGACCTCAAAACCTCCCCAATGAGGGATCAATATGAGGTGAAAAGGAAACCAGGTGTGCTTCCCAAGCCATTCTACAACTGAGGAAGGTAGTTAGGTGAGGAGGGATGACAGGCCAACTGCATGGCTTAGCCGTCAAGGAGTGGGAATTGTATCAGAGTGGAAGTGGCATTAAAAAGCGGAGCATACATTGGCCTATAATTTGACCTAAGAGTGCATAGGAATAGGACCATGACAGTTGACACACTCAGAAAAATTACATTTTTACAGCATACTGGTGGGGCCAGGGGCTGGTTGGGGGACTTCGTTAGACTGAGGGCAGAGAGACCAATACCTCAACATATCCATGACAATCAGGTTTTCCATACTTCAGCTCTGACTTGGAAAGGAGGCCATGGTAAGGGATAGAGATCTCCTTTCTTCTGGTCTCCAGGACTAGAATCGGGACCATGGATAGAGGCTCAAAGACACCTATTAGCTGTGTGGTCTTCCACAGGAGATTTGCCTTCTGTATACCTGTTTCCTCATCTAGGTTAATTGTGAGATTCGATGAGGTAAGGCATGGAGCACGCTTAGAACAGTGCCAGGCATACAGGAAGTGTTCTGTGAATGCCAGCTCCTGGTGCCTGGTGCACCAAAACACACAGCAAGAATCAGGGCCCCTTATGGGTCTGCTTTCCTCAAACGTAATTGCTTGAGCAATTGCTGCTCAAGCCCGAGTTGCCTTTTCTCTCTCCACTCAGTCAATTCCTCCTCTCTCTTTTTTTAAAGTAGCTTAAAACAACAACCATTTATTGTTTCTCAAGATTCGGTGGCCTGGTGGGTGGTTCTTCTGCTAGTCCTCCCTGGCGCGTTCGTGCACTTTCAGTCAGATGGCAGTTAGGATAGCTGCAAGGTCTCAGCTGGCTGGAGATGTTGGCCAAGTCACCTTGGTTTTTCTCCTTGTGGCCTCTCACATGGCTATTTTTTTAAACATTTTGTATTGATTTATGATCATTTTACAATGTTGTGTCAAATTCCAGTGTAGAGCACAATTTTTCAGTTATACATGAACATATATATATTCATTGTCACATTTTCATTGTCACATTTTTTTCTCCATGAGCTACCATAAGATCTTGTATATATTTCCCTGTGTTATACAGTATAATCTTGTTTATCTATTTTACAATTTTGAAATCCCAGTCTATCTCTTCCCACCCCCCACCCCCTTGGCAACCACATTTGTATTCTATGTCTGTGAGTCTATTTCTGTTTTGTATTTATGCGTTTTTTTTTTTCACATGACTATTTTGGATTTCTACCTCAAAGAGAGGTGGGATTCTTAAAGGATCAATCCCAATGTGCTTTATAAAAAATGTTTTTTATTAAATATATATGTGCCACTTCAACCATTTTAATCATTAAGAATATTCTAGTAATTCTTGAAAACCAAATTCACATACTGCTTCCTTTCCTCCAGGAAGCTTTCCCAGATCACTCCTCCCTAACAGGCCACATGAAGAGCTTCATTCTCTGTGTTCAACATTTATTACATTTTCTGTTATTCTTTCAATACACGTCTGTCTCCCTGACAGGCCCTGAGCAAGGGACATTTCTTTTTCTTTCTTCGTTTCTTTCTTTTTTTTTTTTTAATATACTAAAAGCTTAAGACACCAGAAACACTTGGTAAAATGCATGTTAAATGAAAAGGTACTCAAAACATGCACATGAAATGAAGCAATTGGGAATCTTATTTTGCTAAGCAGAATGTGCACGTGGAAAATACTTTGCCAAACCTCTGACAACAAGCTGAAAGTGAACATAATAAGATGAAAGTAATGCTCTTTCAAGCCCTGCCAGAGCTGTGGGAGAACGGAGGCACTTTCTTGCTTCTCTGAAAATGTGTGTTCTTGATATTTTGTACGTGTGAATACGTTTCCCTGCTATTTGCCCAATTTTAGTTTCCTCTCCTTTTAAAAGATATTTTTTTCCTCCCATAGGGAAAACATTGGCATGTTTACTCCTATGGTACAAAGCAATTTCAGGACAACAGTAAATTAGGTGTCAAAAATTCATTCAAACTATTTGAGAGGAGCCTCTAGGAAGTGGACAATTTCAGAGCAATATAGTATTTTTTCAAATTAAAATAATATTTCAATGTGAAGAATTTTTTTTAAAGTAAATGTATTGCTCATAATAAGGTGAGTTTGGTGGGTGGAAGGGAAGTACAAAATTAACCAACCAGAAGAATCTTAGATATAATAGTCTGTGGATACTGTTTAAGTATAGATCAGTTTTGGGGCCTCAGGAGAGATTCCATGAGCTTTGTTCTATTGTCTTTTAGTGCTGACTATTATTTCTGATCTCCTTTTTTAGGTACTTGGGGTAAAAATGAAACATCTGACTGGTATTATTTAGTATCTCTTTGGCTAAACTTATATATAAATGTAGCCCTTTCCCCAAATCCAGGCTCTAAAACCAGCTTCCAATAGAATCTTTTCTTGCTTTAAAGGTTAGCTAGTACTGTGAGTGCCGACTCCTAAATTAATTGATGTTAACAGGACTTAGGACGTAAAAAAACAGACTCGTATGTTTTGTTGAATGCAACTTCTAAGAATGCATAATTAACAGTGTCTCCATTAATATACAGTATGTTCAACAGTGAGACACTGCTATCATAAATAAAGGTAGACATGGATAAATTTATAATTAAAAATGCATTAGAAATTACAAGCATAATTTATTTACTAATGTGCACTGGAATAAATTTTATGTGTAATATTTTAAAACAGGGCATTAATAAATAATAGTAAACATAAAATGTTTTTGCAGCTAAAAATATTTCAATAAATATTAGTAAGTTAAATGTGCTGCAGTTATAATTGCTATGAAGTAAAGTTTATAGAATACAAACACAACGTAGAGGACTGTTTCTCAGGTGTATTCAAAATACCGGAAACAAATGACTGTCTTTCTTTGAAGCTGAC